GTTCCCCTGGGGCCGTGGATCGCTTCGGGCGCGGCCCCCGCTGATGCTCAGTCCTCTCCCCTCTGGCACGGGGCTCTGCACGTACCGACATATCCTGGACGTTCTCGCCACTGTTGGTCCCCTCAGCTGGCCGGCAATCGCTGTCCTGCCAGCTCAGCCACCACGGGGCTTCAGGGGAAGATTCTGCTCTGGCAGCCTTCCTCCTCTTCCTTCTTCCTTTGTTTTTCTCTCACCTTCCTCTAGCAGAAAAACTCTCCAAAATAAAAACCAGAACAGATCAAATCAAGTCAAAACCAATGGCGAAAGAGAAGCAGTGGGGTCGCCTGTTAAATACCTGGCTGGCAGAGGCGCCGACTGGCCTGGCCTGGCCAGAGACAGGTCCAGCTCCTACCTGGGCTTGGGGGCAGCTCTTGAAGTTTTGCAAGAGTCATCCCTCAGCTCTCCCGCTGCTTCCAGCAACCCCGCCAGACTCAAACCCCTGACAAGCCCTCAACACACAAAGGACATGGGCTTGTCGGAGCAGGTCCTGAGGAGGCCACACAAATGATCAAAGGGCTGGAGCAGCTCTGTGGCAAGGACAGCCTGAGAGAGCTGAGGCTGTTCAGCCTGGAGGAGAAGGCTCTGGGGAGACCTTACAGCAGCCGCCCAGTGCTTGAGGGGGCTGCAGGGAAGCTGGGGAGCAACTGCTAGCGAGGGCATGTACAACCTGATCCAATGAAAGATGCCCCTGCTCACTGAAGGGGGATTGGACTAGATTATCGGGAAGAAGTTCTTTACTATGAGGATGGTGAAACCCTGGCACAGCTTGCCTGGAGAGGCAGTGTAGTTCCCAGCCCTGGAGACGCTCAAGGTCAGGCTCGACAGGGCTCTGAGCAGCCTGCTGTACTTAAAGAGATTGCTGCCCGTGGCAGGAGGGTTGGACTAGTCGGCCGTTAAAAGTCCGTTACAACCCAAGTGTTCTAGGGTTCTGTGGTCCCATGGAAACCAGCAGCAACTCGCCCTGTGTTTGGAGCTGTCACCTGGTCCCTGTGCAGGACGAGGTAACTTCTGCTTTACTCGTGAGTTAGGGTGTCGTTCTGCACCCCTGGTGAAGGTTTGTTCCGTCTCTTTCCTGTTAGACCAGATAGTTTCACCTTAAAAAAGAAAGAATGGGGAGATTTGCATGATCACATAGCACCTTCTGGGAAAGCTAATTAACTGTCAAACGACACACTAGACGCTGAGCATTTTTTTGTTTTCTAACTTGTCTGGAAAATGTTTTGTTTGGTAACGTGCTGGAATTACAGCTCGAGCTTGTTTGCTTCCTGCAGTCCTCCGCCATGCGGAAGAGGATCTTGACCTCTGCAGGGGATGGGTCTGAGGAGGAAGGGGAACACAAGAAAGAGAAGGCGAAACGGGGCAAATTTGTGGCAGTGAAAGAAGAGAAAAAGGATTCCAGTGAGGTGGTGGTAGAGGTGAGAGGGCCGGGGTTTCCGCCGCTGAAGGTACTTGTCAAATGTTGATACTCTTGGTGGGAGGCAGCTGATCTGAGTTCTCTCTGCTCACAGCTCACAGACAGTGCTGGGGAAGAAGAGCTGGCAGAACTGAAGAACGCTCAGAAAGGTGAGAAATGAACCCTTGAACTGCCTCTGGTATCTGCTCACAGTGGAAAAGAAGTGTGGTGGAACTAGACTCACTGGTTAAACTTGTGATTTCGTTAATGAGCTTTTTTGTAATAAGAAGTAATGTAAATTTGGGTCCCAGACCCCGAGATGAGACTAACTGGCTTGAAGCATTTTGGCCAGGAACCCCTTGATTAGACAAGAGGCAGCCGTGGCGTGGGCAGATCTGTAATCTGGGAGCTGCGTCACGTGAACAGATGTGACGCTTGCCTGTGTGAGATAGACCGATGTGGTGCTCAGCCTTCCCAGCTGACTGGATCGTGGATTTGTTAGCTGGGAAACGCTGAGAGCTGTATCTAGACCTGCAGTGCTGCTGTGAGAGAAGAGGTGCCGAGAGACCCCCAGGAAAGATGACAGCCAGGGTGGTATTGCACCTTCTGCCAGAGCAGGGCATTTTTTCAGCTTGTTCCCCAGGAGCTCTCTGGAAGGTGACCCTCTAGGAACACGTAGCAAGTTGTCCTGATAGCTAACACGAGCCTGGAAAGCCCATGTCACACAGAGTACAGGAGAAACCTTCTCCATGAAAATGCCGTATGATTTTCGTCTATCTTAATGCTCCTAAATAGTTGACCTGTGGTGTTTCTGTGGTTTCTGTGAAGGAGCTGTCATGTGCTCCCACTGACTGTGGCTGTCTTCTCCGGAGCTCATGCAGAACGCGCTCTCCGGCGTGTGACTGTTGGCAAAGCTCTGTGCTGCTGTCCTCCCCTGCAGATAAAGGGCTGCACGTGGAAGTGCGTGTGAACAAGGAGTGGTTCACAGGCCGTGTCACAGCCGTGGAAATGGGCAAGCACGCCGTGCGCTGGAAGGTGAAGTTCGACTACGTTCCTACAGACACCACCCCACGGGATCGCTGGTAACTATCTCTAGCGACTGGATTTTGGAGGCTTGTTTTGTTCTGGGAGGAAGACCCCGTTTTCCTTCCCGAGATGCTGCAGACAGGTGAGTCGCTGTCATGTCAGGCGGCGTGCGTGTGCTCAGCACTGCCTGGCTGCTTCGTAAGGAAGGAGCACGACAGTCTCCACACAGTCTGCCCCTCGCTCTGGTGCCGCGTTCCTGTGAAGGCAGCTCTTGGGGGATCGAGAGGTCTCGGGGTGACAGCTGGGCACAGGTTCTGATGAAGACGTTAACAGTGTTTCAGGCATGGCCAGTGTAGGAAAATAGATCTCAGTTTCCCTTAATATTTTCTGTTCTTCAGGGTGGAGAAGGGCAGTGAGGATGTGAGGTTGATGAAGCCTCCCTCGCCTGAATACCAGGCTCCAGATACTCAACAGGGAGAGGAGGTGGTTGTGGCTGAACCTTCTTCCTCTGACTGTGGCAGAATTGAAGCCCCCACTGGTTCCAGCAGCAGCCAAGAAACAGCAGACATCCTGGTCCAGATGCTTCGGTGGGTTCACTGCAGTTCTTGTGAGCTCCTGCAGTCTCATTGCTGTAGTTTTTTAAACTCCCAGTTCTGGCTTTGTATTTTTCTTTCCTGCATAGAAATTGTTTGCGGTATTTCTTACCTCCGAATTTCCCTATCTCCAAGAACGAGCTGAGTTCCATGAGCTTGGAAGGGCTGTTGGCATTTCCCTTGGTGAGTTCAGTATTTCTAGAAAAGTAAGTTTGTTTGGCTTTTTTTCCCCACACACCCCATTCTTATGGCA